TACAAAGCAAGTGTTCATTTAAATAGTCTACTGAATTAAATGAACATAATTCCAGATCGAGTGTTCCAAAATCCGGGCGGTGAAGTTGAATGATTTATAGTTTCTTGGCAGTGGGAGAATTTCTATTACTTTACTTCCAAGGCTGTTATTGGTATAGTCATGGAGTTCTATGATAATTTTAAAAAGATTAATGAACTTTATCAGTAGCGAGAAGCAATTCTCTGTAAGTACAACACATTCTCTGCTACAAACAAGGCTTTGGATGATGTTATTTCATTTCTTATTGAAGGTAGAGGAGCTTGGAAGATGAAGAATAACATTATGGTAAACTTCCCTGCTTCTATGTTAAATGTTATATCCAAGGCCCGACATTACTTTACATCTGCCAGAATGATATCTACGAACCACCATAGTGAAGTTACTAAGGATAGAGCTATCTTGAACTTCTGTATCCAAGAGATTGGCAGTCTAGATGTTGGATCTACAATCTATACGGACATTCGTTCTATTGCTCTAGGTCAGACGACAGGTAGATTAGGACACCCTGCCTTGATTTTCACATTATGTGAGAAATCAAGAGTTGATTTTAGAATTGAGGAGGAAAGGATTAAGCCTCTTAAATCTATTGGTTCAGCAAATATTAAAACCTATGAATCTCATGTTGGATGGAGAACGGGAAGTAGGAGTAGGGATATTCCTTCTACTTTTAGCACTCTTACTCTCCAAGAACTTATGGAACAATGATGATCCAACAAGTAGATGCCTTGAGAAAAGAGAAAAGGATTGAAAATTTGGAGGTCATAAAAGCACATAATGATAATTTAACAAAGCAAAAGTTTGAATATGATGTTGCATATGATGATGCTATGGTAAGATACATAAGAGGTGACCACTCAGTACAGTTTCCTAATCACCCTATCTTTACCCCTTACCCCTTATCAGACCCCTTATCAGCAGCAAAATTTTGATATAGAAGAAGAAGAAGAAGGAGAGGAGGAGGAGGATGAGTGAAGATGGCTTCTTAGTCATAGTTCTGATCTTTTATTTAGTTTATAGTTTGTTGCATTTTGTTGTTGTTCTTATTGTTTAGTTTGTTAAATGTGAAACTTTAATTTGTATTGAATTTTGCGTTGTGAACTATAATCTGTACAGCTGTTGTTGAATTGAAATTTATTTTAGTAAAGTTATTTGTTTTTTAGTACTTTATTGTATTTATTTTTAGTTAACTCCTCTCAGCAAATATTTTTCATATTTATTATGTGATATACAATGTTTTAAGTCTTGTAGCATTTTATTCTAACACATGCAATATTTCAGAGTTAAGTTTAAAAAACAAAATAGAACCTTCAACAGGTAAGACTTTTCTTTATGTATTAACTATTTTCTTTCACCCTGTATTTTCAGTTTTTCATGCTTAATCTTTTAAGAATTTATGTTTGGGCTGAAGAGAAATTCCATTTTAAGGAAATAAACTTAATTTTATTTGTCCTCAATGAGCTATATTTTAAAGATTTTTAATTTAACATGACCTGTGGTAGTAGAGCCTAACTTTGGATAACTATATTTGTGTTTCCAAATATATAGTAAGCTTAAGTAAAAACTTTCAATAATAAAGGTTAATTCTAGAGATTAAGGTATTTGGTATGAGAGAATAAGACAATGTTTCTCCATTTTAAGTAAATGAATTTGTTTTTTTTTAAGTATTGAGAATCTTATAGTTTCATGTAAAAAGAGAAGATTGAAACTTTATTAAATCTTCAAAACTAAGATGAATTTATAAAGTGAAGGAATGTGAAAAGTGTTTTTAACTTTAAGAAAAAGATAGTGAAGTTCAAAATTATTAAAGGCTATTTAGATATAGTAATCTTTACATAAAAAAAAAGGAGAAGCAATAAGCAAAAAAAAAAATAAAAAAAAAGAAAAGAAAAATATGTGAGAAGAAGCTTGATCTGTCTAATAAAAAAATTGGCTTCACTTGACTCAACTTAAGAAAGAAGGCATAGCTACCTCCTCTAAACTTGTATTCAAGTATCACATATTTACTAGTAAAGTTTTCATGAAGTTCTTTATCATATGGATATTCTAAGTGGTTTTAATATAATAATTTGCAATTTTTCTTGAAAAGAATAGAGAATTTGAAATCTTAAAATTGACTGCTAGATATTCTTATACCTTTAGTATTAACTTGAGTTATTTTTTAATTTTTTTGAAGTTATGCTATAATATTTAGTAGACCAAAATATGAAAATCAAGAAATTAAACTTTTTACTATAAGTCATATTTTTATGTATTAAAGGAGTAACTTGAGGACAAGTAACATTAAAGTTTGAGGGATTTTGATGCACCAAAAATATATGCATTTTTAGACCTATATTTTATACTCATTTTTGGTGATATTACAATTTAAAGGAAGGTATTTTTCATGTTTTATTGCAGGTTGATGATTTTTAGCACTTGAAGCAAAAAAGAAGCAAAAAGGATGGATTTTGGAGTCAAAATAGCATTTTGGAAGAAATACTCAGAATTAATTCGGACCACAGCATCATTTGACAGAGAAATAATTCAAAGAGATGATGTTTTATTGTAAGGAATTTACCATTAAAAATAATTTGGACCACGGCGTCGATGACGCCATCGTGGGCGCTGACGGCACCAATGTCAATACTGGGCAAATTTCTAGAAGATTCAATGAATTTGGACGCTTTTTGAAGAGTTATTGGATTCACCTCTTGGAAATCCGACATTATGCTCTATTTAAAGTGAAAATTGATCAGAGAAAAGGGGGCTAGCGTGTCATTGAGTTTTCTTTAGTGTTACATTGTGTTTATTGCTTAATGTGGTGAGTCTAAGTGTGATTTCTCCAAAGAGTTGTTAGAGAGGGAGAGAAGAGAGAGATTTCTTCTTCCCTAAATCTTTGACGAGAGAATCAAGAGTCTTGTAAAGAGAAAAAGAGTCCAAGAGGAGCTACAAGGGATTTGCTTTGACAAAGAGTTAAAGATAAGTAGTGTTTGTTGATTATTGTTCTATAAACTTTCTTTTCTTTATGAAATTTGCATTTTGTCTTATCTTTCTCATGAGGTCTGAGTAGTTTTCTTTGTCTTTCTCTTTACTTTGAGATATAGTGAAATGAAGAAATCATTTGGATGTGCCAAATTTAAAATATAAAATAAATTATGATAATTTTTCGCTCCATTCTTAATTTACTTTTCGGTTTGGGCAATTGAAATGTTAACATCTGTTGTGAAACATACTATCCGGGAAATGAAGTAAGAGTTTTACTACAAAGTGAGAATCACATTTGATTCTATGTAGGAGTGTTTCGTTCATGGAATTTGGTGCAAATAAATAGGGAAATATATATTAATGGGAGAAAAATTGGAGATTCTAGGGTCACAGACTAAAATCCCCGATTTGGTCTTAGTGTTTACGAAGTAAAACGAGAGTTAGCCTTCGGGGGAAGAGAAGTAGGAGCTCTGGAGTGAAATTCAATATCCTCCCAGCCTAACCATGGATTTAAAGACTAAACCTAAGATTAGCCAACGATTCTTTATAACACTTGAGTAAGGGTAGAGAATTAAAATTGCTCTAATTTGGCACAAGACATATTAAAACCATTTATCTCTCTCATTAAACCAAAAAATCAATTTAGTGGTAAAGATGCTTTCTCATATTAGATAACTTCATCACAAAAATATAGTTTAGCAGCTTTTGTTTAGCTTAGCTTTATAGTTTTGCTAGTAGTAGGTAATTTAGTTCTGATAGCACCTTAAACATTCAAAATTAGTGTAGTAGATTTTATTTATTGTTGTGAATTTCCTAATTTAAATTTCTATTGCGAATTTAAACCTTCCTCATGGGATCAATATTTGAAGCTTAAATAGAAAGTTCTGTATAATTTGATAACGATGCGTATACTTGCGTAAAATCCTAACATAAATTGCTTCAAATTCTTAATCATAAAATAACAAATCAAGTTTTTTGCGTCGTTGCAAAGCTGAGCCAACTTTATTAGTTTTACACATTTATAATTTTATGGATCAGGAGGTTATGGTCAATAGTATCTAGATTGTGTAACTGGATCATATTTGTGGTCTATGATGTATACCATTTGAATCAGGACGTGGATCCTACTTATAGGTTATGATCAATAACATTTGGATCATGCAACTGAAAGCGGATCCTTCTTGTGGCTATGAGTCAAATTTCTGGATGACAATGATAAATTTTTTTTTGCTTCTCTTTGTCCGAATCATGTTATGGTTCACGAGTTATCTCTGAGGCTTCGATATTCTCGGCTTCGACATATTTTTTGTATTTGGCACTCTCAAGCTTCGACACTCTTAGGCATTGGCACTCTTAGACTTTAGCACACTCAGGCTTCAAAATTCTTTGCTTCAGCATTCTTGGTTTTGACACTTTCAGCTTTAGCACTCACTGCTTGAGGATTTTTTGTCATAACAAAGTTTCTTGTTGGGAAATTGATGCTTCCTGACCAATTGGAGCTGGGAAGTCAATCAAGAAAGACGGATATCAGACAACTAAATGAGGAGTTTTCTATAATTAAGAGCTTCCTTATTTTGAATATATTTATTTTGATTTTTTTCTCTCTCAGCTGAATATTTGGATTACGAATATGTATTATTAAGTTACCTAAAATAGATTATGCAGTTTATTTTGTACTTAAAATTGATTGTAAGATTATTATTTAATGAAATGAAAGCAAAGAGAAAAGGCATCAAGCTTATTCAGGATTTAGCTTTTTTTTCTCAAAACTTTCAACATGGTATCAGAGACTAATTCCGTACACTAGCCACCAGTCTTCCTTTGAAAATTATAGAACTCTCTTCCTACCATCCTCTGTGAGGGAAGGGAAGGGCACTTATTTTTGTATTTGAAACAAAAAAAATTTCTTCTTCTCTCACCGAATTCCAAAACTCTCATCGGCAATGTGGAGGAACTCTCGAGATAGTGCGATACAGTCACAATTGGTGTAAGCTGGGATGTCAAACACGGGATTGCGGCGTACGGAGACAAATGCAACTCCATCTTCCTCCTTCTGCTCGCTCCTACCTGAAACCATTGAGGAAGTTCCACACGTAATAGGATGGAGAGGTCATCCACTCTCCTCGTCCACTCTGACAAGGGCACCCCAAAAATGGCAAACGAGATCAAGCTGGCACTTGAGGGAAACGACGTTGCCACCAGATCGATGCCATGAAAGGGCTATCATGCTTCTTCTTAACAACAAGGGCCTTCTGCAGCTTTTCATCACAATCGTTTGTTATTTACTTTCTTTTGAGAACCACACGATCCAGAAACTCCTTGAACTCCAGATAATCAACAAAACTGACACCAACGGCTGCGCCCTACCAGAGACTATCCTCATCTGTCAGAACCTGTGGAACAACTTGCAACATCCTAACGAGTACATCAGAGGCACCACATGACCGCGACTTTATATATGCTTAAAAATATAAGTATTTAATAATGCTGCTAAAAGATTTAATTCATCAGCAGTTGTACCAAAACTTAATAACAATTATAGATTCGATAAATATGGATGTAATAAATATTCAATAATTGTAAAGTCACACTTATCAACGCAAGTATATGTATCGCTCAAGTAATATAGGGCTCTAATGGAGTCCTAGATATCGATCCCACAGGGAGTAATATTAGAACTATGAACTAAGATTTTAGAAAAGAAATACTTTAATCGTAATAACGAAATTCAATTTTCTTATCTGTCATAAATAGGCAATTGAAATAAATATGTAATTTTAATAACTATTAAATAACTAAATATACTAATGAAGTTTTTAACGTGATATTCAATATATAAGAAGACATCCTTCTCCTTGTCAAGAAATTATAGTGAATGGATAAAATGAATCAATTTAATTTGTATTGTGCCAAATAGGAGCATACCTATTCTTTATCCTTTGGTCTAGGCATAAAGA